AAGGAAGCTCCTGATGCCACAGGACCAGATCCGGAAAGGTCTCAGGGTATATCCCTAGGATACAAGACCTCTATCTTTCAACCACATGTGATAAATATTATTAGCATAGCTAAAAACTGATGATTCCTTTTATCTTTGCAGTACTAAGAATTGAAACCTGTTTCTTCACATTGAGTTCTATCCTCCAGCCCTTTTCATATTTTATCTTGAGTCAGGGTCTGCCCTAAGTCACTAAACTGCCCAGGCTTGACTCAAACTTGCCATCCTTCTTCCTCAGCCTCCAAGAGTGCTGGGATCACAGGTGTGTCCCACGATGCCAGGATCGATAATAATTCTTTAATACCATGGAGATTTTAAACAGTTGGTGCTTTAAATTTTAGGAGTAAATATGTATGCACATCTTCTGCTGGCTCTACTTTAATGCCTGTGTCTCATGTAAAGGGGAATGAAGGAGTCTGGAGGCAATGAGGGGACACTGTGTGTCCCCGATCAGCGAGCTCTGGGATGAGAGATGGATGCAAGGGCAGAAGACATCTCCTGAGCAGCTCAGTTTCTTCCAGCCCCCATGGGACCCCGCTGGCCACTACTCCCTGGTGTCCCGGTCATGTGGGTGACTTTATCCGGTAGGCTGACAGCAGTTCCGGTCCACACTTCAGAGCAACTCCTAAGCCTAGCTATGGTCTGAAGCACGGGCGGAAAACCTGCATCTTCCACATGGAAAATTTCGTGGTCCTGCTTCGAGGACGCAACATAAGGGAAACAGGAGGGAGAAGAAGAGAAGGACTCAACCCAGGTATCAGAGGAGGAGGAAATGAAGAAACGGACAATCGATGCTGTCACCAGAAGACCTAGAATTTTGCACAAGCAACAACATGAGTGCATGGGCTGACACAGGAAGTGACCTTCCAAATCTCTTCCAAACCTCCTCTCAGGAGGGTCCTGGCCTGTGCGTCCACTATGATTCGGCATTTTGGCGAATTGGCTGTGTCCTTTACCTGTCTGGCTGTACAACTCACAAGGCTCTGTCACTGGTGATGTGTTGATGTTTCCATTTTTTATACATGTGAAAGGTGGTAAGGAAGCACTGAGCTCTTACAGCCAAGAGGTTGATAAAAGTTATTTCCGGTTTAAGACATGGAGCAGCAAAGTCATTTCTCCACTCAGCACAGTGCAGCACTGAGGAACTCAGAGCCCCTTTAGCTGGGCTCTGCTCTGAGCTTGTGACAGGACCCTCCTCCTACCTTGGTTTCCTCCTTTGTGAAATGCAGTGGTAGCACTTCCTATTTTAACACTATCACTGTTTTGCCAACACTAGGGATTAAACCCAAGGTCTTTGTACTGAGCTATATCCTTGGCCCTTCTTTATTTTTATTTTTTAAATTTTTGTTTTGAAACATGTTCTTGGTAAATCACTAAGTTGCTCAGCCTGGGCTCAGATGTGTGATCCCCCTGCTTCAGCTTCCCAGAGTGTTGGGATTACAGGTGTGCGTCACCACACCCAGCTTGTAAGTGTTACTTCAAGGATTAACTCAGTTAATTTGTGCCCACCAAAGGACTCAGTCACCATGCAAGGGGGTCCGAGCATGCACTTGTGGTATGGTGTGAGATACCATCGGGATGTAGAGAGGGGTTTTCTAGCACACAAGCCACACCCAAGGGGCACACAGGGTGCTGTGATCCAACGCTCAGAACCCCACCCAGAGCCTGCATGTATGGCCCCCTGGAGATCCCTGCACCTTCATCTCAGTCTTGATGGGGACATCAGCATTGGCCAAAGGCAGCAGCACGGCAGGGGCCCAGCGGGTTACTCAGTCTCCGGTCCAGTGTGTCCCTCACACAACTCACAGAACCTCTGAGGCATCCTGTGTCACAGCTACAACTAAACTCCTGATTACCTGGGGCCATATTCTGTGCCAAGGGTGCAAGCCCGTGTCCTCATGCCTCTCCTCCATGTGGTCAGGAACTGAGGCCAGCACTGGTGACTCCATAGGAATTCAGCAGGCTCAGTCTTGGGATGGCTTAGTACCCTGAACAGGCAAACGACTTAACTTGTGTCATCAGGGAAACCTGACAATGACCACCAGATCCTGAAATGCTGCCAGGTGAAACAGAGATGAGCCCGGTGACCCAGGTTACACTCAGAACACAGGTCTGTAACATGTGCCGCTGAGCTGACTTGGCCTCATTCTGTATCTCTTCAGAGGCTTAATGCAGATCCATAGGTACCTGGCATAAATGGACTAAAGTTCAGCTGTTACTGGAATTCTGGGGTGGAACAGGCTCCTCGTTGAGTGGAAACCCTCTCTGTTCTTAGAAATAATGAAAAGGAGATGACCAAGGGGAAGCCTGGGGCAGAAGTGTCCTACAGTGTTCTCTGGGTGCAGAATAGTGAACACAGTGCTTGGGGTGGTGGTGGTGCAGTTCTCAGATAAGGCATTATGAGCACAGTGGTTGCTGTGTGATAGTGAGGACACACCGTGTCACACACAGAGCCACGACAGCCATGGGGCACGGAGCCTTGGAGAGGACGTCCCCTCTCAGCCCACAGTGGACACAGACTCTGCTGTGACTGAGTTTTCAGGAAATAATCAACACCATGTGAAGCTCTAGGTTGAAGAATAGGTATGCAAACCTTACTTACAAAGCGAAACTTTAAAAAGCCAATGATATGAACTATCATACATCACGCGAAAACGATTTTCTGAAGGTTTATTCAGTGATACAGAAAGCTACGTATGGTGCATACAGAGAAAAAAGGTAAAAAGGATAAAATGGACACTCTGACCTGGCTTAATATAGAATTAAGGGGAGAGTGAAGAGAAAAACTAAAGAACAGGAAATGAATTTTGCTAGCTACTCCTCTGAGGACTAATATCTAAAATACACAGAGGACTTTAAAACGAGAGCCCCCAAGTAAAAGGCCCTTTCAGAAAATGGGCGAGTGAAATGAACAGATACTTCTCAGCAGAAGCAGTGCGAAGGGCCAATAGACACAAGAAGACATGGTCAACATCTCTGGTCACGAAGGAAAACAAACTAAAACACTGAGATTCCACCTCATGCAGAAAGGATTCCTACCTTCAAGAAATCCAACAATAATAAATGTTGGTGAGATAGCAGGAAGAAAGGAGCCCTTCTACATGGTCTGTGGGAATGCACACTAGTACAGCCACTACAGAAATCAGTATGGCAATTCCTCAAAAAGTAAAAAATAGAAATTTCATCTAGCCCAGCTATTCTGCCTCAGTATTGTCCCAAAGGAGTTAAAGACATAACCATGCAACCCACATTTACAGCAATAACAACTCATAACAGCTAAATCTTTGAAGCAGCCTCTGTGTTCATCAGCAGATGAACGGATAAAGGGGATGTGGTATTTACACACCATGGAGCACTACTGGGCCACAAAGAAGGATAAATAAGTCATTTGCACAGAAATGGATGCACTGTGAGACCATAATGTTAAGTGAAAAAACTCAGATACACAAGTTTAAACATCACATGGTTTCTATCATATGAGAAACACAGAGTAGAAATAAGGAAGAAAATAGATAATAGGAAACAGTGAGACAGATCTTCTCCAAATGGGAGGACAAAGGGAGGAAGAGAGAGAGAGGGAGTGGGAGAGTGAGAGGAAGTATAACTAAAACTTAAGATGTGTTGCTGCATGTTCAGAAACGTACAAACAAACAAAAATAATAGCAAACATGTACTAATAAACATAAAAAAAACACCAAAACTAAAGCCGGGCATGGTGGCGCACACCTGTGATCCCAGCACTCAGGAGGCTGAGGCAGGAGGATCGCTGTGAGTTGGAGACCAGCCTAGGCTACATAGTGAGTCCCAGGTCAGTCTCAACTATGTAGTTAGATCTTGTCTCAAAAAACCAAACCAAACCAAACCAAAACCAAAAACTATACATGCAAAGAAAGCAATCACAAGGAGTTTTAAACCCTTCTAAATTAATGGTGGTCACTACTAACTTGGGGATTTTCAGTACTTTTTTACTGCATGTATTATTCAAATATTCCAACTTTTTTTTTTGGTACCAGGGATTGAACTCAGGACCTTGTGCTCATGAGGTATGCAGTGGTACCACTGAGATAAATCCAACTTTTTCATAATGGGCATATGCTAATTATGTAAAGAAAACAAACATTTAAGAAAAAACCCTATCACTCTGGCAGTTTAACATTAATGCAAATGACAACATTTAGAGGATAAGTTGCTGATAATGTTGACCCTGAAGGTAAAAAAGAGTAAAGATGTAATGTCTGAAAGGTGAGATTTTCTTGAACAATTAGAAATTGATTTTATCATGTAAGGGTACAAGATTCAAATGATGAATGTAACTGTACTGTATACTTAAAAAGTACCAATAAACTCAATAAGATTGAAAAAAAAGCAATTGATTTTATAGTAGACATAGAACATCAGGCCCAGGGATTAATTCCTTCCCCGCAGTCTTGCCAGAATTACACGCATCTCCATAAGAACATGGGTGTCAGCATGTGTAGCAGCACCCAGAGCAGGGGCACGTCGGCCTTGTATCTCTGCCAGGGGAGGGCAGGACCCCAGCCACATCCTGAGGACCTCACCCCCCATGCTGGCCTCAAGGAAGGAACGGAAGGAACCCCAAATCCCCAGGCACCATGTTGGTAGAAGGAACAGAGAAAGAGGAAATCCAAAACACCATGCAAAATATATAAATACATTTTTAGACAGCGTTCTCTGCTTCATTTGGCTTGTTTCTGAACTATCTGGAATACGCACACAGCTCCCATTGGCGTAAAGAGAGGAGCTGATGTACACATTTTGCATGTATATTTTGACTAACAACAACATCCAATTGAAACATCTAAAGTCAAAAGGCGAAGGGGCAGAAAAGGGCTCTGTCTCAATTGGCCTCATTTCAAATCAGCTGTGACTGCACCCCAGGTTCTACTTGCTTTCAGGTGCTATTCCTACTACAACAATAAGCTGTGCTGGAGCGAACCTACCACACTCGAGGACTCCTCAAATGTCAGCGAGGGTGGGGCCAGATCCCGCCAAGCACGCGCTGCACTTTGACCTTGGCAGCAGCCTCCACGTGACCTTCCCTGCGCAAGAGAGGAAGGAGAAGCTGTTATTGGGGCTGGGACTTTCTCTGATGTCCTCATGGACACACAGCTTCCCTATGTCTCAACAGAGGCCTTGCACGCCTGTGTTACACTCAGCACAGGTTGCCTGTGGCCAGCCCTGGGGCAGATTGTCTCTCCTGCTTGTTACAGGTGTGGTGCTTTTATTATTTATTTATTTATTATTTATGTCATTATCATTTATTTATGTATTTATGTATTTATTTATTTTGGTACAGGGAGGGATCGAACTTAGGACCTTGAGCTTGTAAGACAGGCGTGGTGCCACTGAGCTAAATCCTCAGCCCAAGGTGGTGCCTTTAAGCAAAGTTCTGTGCTTTAATGAGGAGGAGACGATGAAGGCAGGTGGAGGAAACTGGACTACTCCACCACATCAGGCTCCTCTGCAGAGACCCCACAAGGGGGATGTGTGTCAGAGGGGAGCTCAGGGCATGAGACGAAGCCTGCTGTGAACACATGACCAACAGGCTACAGTCCCCAGCCTGTACCCTCACTCCAGACCTGTAACCTGAGAAGGTCCAATCCCATCTCATATCTGTGAGATTAGCTAAGGCCGCATCAGAACCAGTGCCATGGAGAAATGCATTTTGGTTTGGTGTCACATGCCTATAATCCCAGCACTCTGGGAGGATGAGGCAGGGAGGATTAAAAATTTGAGCCCAGCCTGGGTGACTTGTCAACTTGCTGAGAACCTGCCTCAAAAAAAGAATAAAGGGTCGGAATGGAGCTCAGTGTGAAGGACCTGGGTTCAATTCCTAATACTGCAAAATAAGTAAATAATTAGAGGAACATAAAAAATAAAGGCACAGGAACCCAGAGGGAGGAAGTTTCTGATAGATCCTGTTTTCCAGGGTCACATGAGTACCCCAAGCAAAGGACAATTCCTTTGCAACATTAATTCAATTTTTCCCAACTGCAAACCACATTCATCCCAATTTTAGCAGCTCTTGTGGGAGGAAAAATGAAACATGAAATTCTTTGCTTCCAAGTGTGTGTCTGTGCCTTAGCTCCACGGGCCGGGTCCTCCCCAGAAGTCACACCTTGCATCTGGTGTCGCTCCTGGGACACTGTGCCCGTAGATACCCTAACAAATGTTAATCATTCTCTTTTTTTTTGCCTATGCTCACTTGCGTCATTCTTTCGTGGCCACCAGTTATACTGGTGTGGTTTCTTGTCACTGGAATTCACAGGAACACACACGCACACACGTGCGCATGCACACATATATGCACACACATGTCCAGACTCATGACATCTAGAATGATACTTCACTTTTCTGGTATTTAGTGTCCCCTTCCCCAGATTCTTCCTGTCTAACAGTGGAATTGATTTGTCTTAGGCATACCAATACACACGTTACATGTAATGAAGTAAAATGTGCTGTAAAGTAAAAATTCACAGTGTAATTCAAATGCAGGCAATAAAAAAAAGACCTTGATTGGAAACAAAAAGGAATCTTCACATTAAGAAATGCACAAATAAGAACAGCTACCAAGAGTGAGGATTTAGAAGAAATCTCTGATGAGGTGCCTGGGTCCATATCTCTGCCAGTCTTCACATTGGTGTCATTATCCCTGTGCCCCATTTGCTGGGACTCAGTAGCTCCTGGAGACACAGCTGGCACACAGTGGGACAGCTCCTTCCACCTGCAGGGTTTCTGCTTCTCCAGGCTGGTTTCTCAGACTCTCAAAAACAAAAATCCTGGGCTCTTTGTTCTTTAGAAAACCCAGTCTCAGTGAATACACTGGTTCACACACAGAAACATTCTCTTTCAGAAATAGCCAATGGCTCTTCCAAGACATCATTATTAAGATGTGGAGACCATTTTGTTCATTCCAAATCTAATGAAACAGATGTATGCTTTTAAAAGAAGTAATGCAGATATCAAGTTTCTGATGGTTTCTAATAAGCGGATAAAAAGAAGACCAAGAACCCATTAAAAGATATTTATGGGAATGTCTGGCCTTGGGATTTTACTTTAGAAGTGAAATGGCAGCAAGTCTGATGTGTACATGGGCTAGAGCATGCCTGCCTCCTGTGGGCATGGAATTAATACAAAACTCTTTGCAGAGAAGACACTGTCCTTGCCAGGGATGTAGCTTAGTGGTTTTGCTGCTTGCCTTGCAATCACAAGGACCCAAGTTCAATCCCTGGTACAAAAAAAAAGAAGAAGAAGAGGAAGAAGAGGAAGAAGAGGAAGAGGAAGAAGAAGAGGAAGACGATGACACTGTCTGTGGCCAGCAGTGCCCTAGCTGCCAAACCCCCAAACACAGGCTGGCTTTATGGGCTCCTGCAGGGCAGGGCAACCTCTCCAGAAAAGGCTTGGCTGAGTTGTTTCCCATCCTGCTGGAGAAAGAGGACATAGAGACACAGCTGTGTATACACAACACTTTGCATCCAACATGACCCTTGCTTTTATTTGGGTTTTGCCACATTATTTACTTTCTTTAAAATATTCAGATAATTCTACAACAGTTAAGACTTCTTGGTTTATCAAAACAGAGTATTGGACTTTAAACATTCTGAAAGCATTGACTAGATCAAGTTGCTCACCGTCTGGTGTTATCTTTTGCAATCCTTGTTGAATATCACCAGTATCTTAGTGAAAATTACTGGGTCCAAGCCTGCCAGCCCCTCTGCGGTAGGTGAATTGAAGTAACAAAGGACACTTAGTTTATAAGCAGCAGAATACTAGACTTGAATCCTGACCATCTCAGTTCTGATTATGTGCTCTTAACCCCCAGACTCAACCCTCAGAACAATCAATGTTAACTTTAAAAAAAACTTCATAGACCCAGAGCAAAATCTTGGGAAGACCTGAGCAAGTATTTCTTAGCCAGCAAGGGTCAGTCCCAACTCTTTCCTTTTAATCATCTTAAAAATGTAAACACATGGGACTGGGGATTTAGCTCAGTGGTTCCAACACCTGCCTCACAAGCGCAAGGTCCTGAGTTTGATCCCCGGTACTAAAAAAACTGGAATCCAGCCTTAGCTTGCAGCAAGTTGGGGAATTTGTTTTTTAAATTATATAAATAATGTAATTGAATCATAAATAAATAAATGTGACCCCAACATGCCAGGCAGATCTTCTGTGACCCCAGCACTCTGGCTGGGCCTGTGCAAGCCCAATATACCAGGCTGATGCTGGAATCCACTGTCCTGAAGATTTAAGCAGGGCCATGTTCTGGCTCAAGGCTGGACATCAGCTGGCGGCCAGAGCAATCAGTCCACACTGCCATGTTCACTAAGCCTTTCATAGTCTTCTCAAAACAAGCATCACTCTTAGCAAGAAAACTTGCTCTTGTTTTCTGCTGTGCCAACCTTCGGGTCTGCAGAAAAGGAAGACGTGTGGAGAAGGTTCTACGACAGAGACTGAGCACAAGTCCTGGCCATGTGTTGCGGCATTTAGTCCTCATGGTGAAGTAATGCTTGATAACACTGCTTCTACAGATGGCAAAGCCGGGCACAAAGACACCATGTGACTTGAAGTCACTCGGTTTATAAATGACAGATGGTTAGACTTGAACCCTGACCATCTAATTTCTGACCATGTCCTCTGAACCACTAAACTCAACCCTCCATACAGTTAAAGTTATTTTTTTTTTTAAAGAAAACCTTCCTAGACCCAGATGGAGCAAAATCTTTGGTAGAACCGAGCAAGGACTCCTTGTTCTCTGGGTCATCGGCAGCCGAGCTCTGCCTGGGCAAACCAAAGTGGGGGTGACACCCCAAGAAAGAGAATGTCTCAGGGCTCGCTAGTCAGTGTGTCCTGATTACCTGGGAACTTTGTTGTGCTTCAGGATAGGTAGCTGTATTAGTAAAACCAGTTCCATCTGCTTCTTTTTGAAACACTTTTAAACTTTACTGAAATGCACGCCATCACCCAGGTAATTCTGCAGCTCACATCATATTCCTATTGGACAGCACTGATCTAGCCTTACTCATCAGGTGAATTTTACAGTGAGGCAGATTTGGATTTTTTATCAGAATGGGGCCACATAAAGATGCTGAGTTTGAAGATATCCTTTTTTATTTTTTGGTTTTTTGAGACAGGGTCTCACTATGTAGTTGAGACTGACCTGGAACTCACTATGTAGCCCAAGCTGGTCTCGAACTCACAGTGATCCTCCTGCCTCAGTCTCCCCAGTGCTGGGATTACAGGTGTGCGCCACCACGCCTGGAGAAGATATCCTTCTTAGAAAGCCTTAGCATCCATGGGTCAGTCTTGGGATTGTCCAGTTTACATTCTTCTCCAACTCAACAAAGTTACCTTCTCAAAGATAATGATTTCCTTAACTCTTTCTGCCCCTTTTGCAGTCAGCGTCCAGCTGTTTACTAACATGTTCTTCTGTTGTAGGCTTCAGTGGCTCTTGAAGGAGGCAAGTCGAGCTCCCCGGGGGTCAAGGGAGCCAGTGGCGATCCAGTCTGGGAGAGAGCCCTCCGGTGAGCACACTGTGCGGTGGGGGCAGGAGGGGACTGTCCCTCGGCTGGAGCAATGGGCATCTCCACAGTGTCAAAACAGCATGTCCCATCTTAAGCTGGCACAAGAGCTCTGGCTTCTTTGCTTATTAGCCTAAATGCTTATTTCTTTGTGTACATTTCTTTGTAGTATCACATTTTCTTCTGGCTTATGCTATATGTTCCCATATTTCAATTATGGTGGCAGAATAGTTCATACTTTTAATTTATTAAAAACCTGATTATGACGTTTTCAGGCCAGTGAACTAATTTTTCATGTACATCTACGGAAAAACTGAGCTTTGAGAAGTAAATACAAAACAGACTCCCAATATATTAACATAGAGGGCAGCTGACGGCAACAATACAATGATAAGGTCCTAAGCGCTGTCCTGGGAGCTGTCCTTCTGCAGCACTGGGTGAGATGCCTCTTGGCCTGGGCTTTGAGGGCCTGAGAACACAGGTGACCCTCAGTGGTGCTACCATGCAATAAAAGTAGACCG